GGGCTGGCTGGCACTGCCTCCTTGGCTTATGCTGGGGACACTGGGGCCCTGGTGGCCACTGCTGGCTCTGGGCTGGCAGGCTTGGAGCTGGCACAGGCCCTGTGGCCTGGGTCTACCCCTTTAATGGCTCCAGGGCTGGGGGAGAGGAGCTTCAACTGGGAGATGATTCCTCCAGAAGTTCAGCAACAAAACTATAAAATGAGCCAAGCCACAGATGAGTCCCTATGCGACTAATCATCAGCTAGTAACAGATGAGGAGTTCCCAAGAAAGCAGAGCCTTAGAGTTTAAGGTCAATGGTATGGATGTAGCACAACTTGTCGAGACGCCTGGGATGTATTCCTGGCTGCCACTCCTTTTCTATGAGACCTTCAGCTTAACGTTACGGTGTTTCTCTGCATGATCACCGTCATGGAGGATGTTCCACTTCCTCAGAACTCAGAATATCAAAGCTCTTCCCAAACACTCATTAAGGGTTTTGATGTTTGAAATCTTGTACTATTAAGATAATGACAGTTTGTTAGTGGAGAACGCCCTTGTTTTGAGCAATGGAATCACTTTACAAATGTCTGCCACGGTCATGCAGGTCATTCCCCTAGACAGCTCACAGTTTGGGATCTTTAGATTTCCGTAAATGAAATTGGGGGGGGGCGGTTCTGTTAAACTTTGAAAAGGAATTTCTATAGGAAGAGCAGAAGAGCAGCCTGCATCAATGAGCACAACTCTGTGCATGGCCAGGGCAAATAAATCAAAACAAGGCTCTTCACCCTCGTCTGGTTAGAGGAAACCGTCGAGGGTGTTACACTGGAATAGGCGTTCCCATCCTGGTAGGCAAACTTTCTGCGAGTTAAACTTAAAAACCAACAAATAGTCTGGTAGCACTGTAAAGACGAACAAAACATGTCGATGGGATCATGCTTTCGTGGGCACAGCCCACTTCTCTGGATGCCCGGAGTGTTGGATGTCCAGAACTAAAAACATGTTTTGTTCGTCTTTGAAGTGCGACCAGACTGTTTGTTGGTTTTTAAGTTTATCCAGTACAGACTGACGGGGCGACCCCTCTGAAGTTTCTGGGAGTTGTCTGTCTTGCCTATTGAAGGAGGCAGATCCTGCTGCAGGTGCTGTAAGAGTGGGCAGGGAGGATGTCCCGAGCCTTTTTGTCAGAGACTGGGAATGGGAGACGGTTGAGGGGTTACTGGATGGTTCCCTGTTCTGTTCACTCCCTCTGGGGCACCCAACACTGGCCACTGTGGGCAGCCAGGACACGGGGCTAGATGGACTTTTGGTCCGACCCAGCCTGGCCGCTCGGATGTTCCCATATTTTTATGCAAATGTTCCAGATTTTTTCCATAGTTTTTATAAACGATTGCAGTGCATGTGTCCACCCTCCCCCGTCCCTCACCTCCGAGCTCTAGTGACGTCAGGGGGGTTGGATGTCGACTGTGCTTTAATCACCACGAGGCGCAATTCACCTCTGCACGGAGGGGCGGCACAAAAGCTGTAGAAAAACGTTGGCCCTTGCCAAGCAGGCCCACTGACAAGGAGAGCCAAGGAGATCTCAGGACCCCTTCTCTCAAGGCCCCAGCCCTTCTGGGAGCATGGAACCGGGCCCCCCGCCACCTCGCCCAGGGGCCTGTGGAGGCTGTCGGCTCCCCTGCTGTTAAGGGACAGAAGTGACTCATGGTTCTATAGTGTCCTCTTGCTGGGGGAACTCTCACGCCAAAGGGCCAGACAAACCCCCCCAGGGTAATGACTCCTACTGACTCCCGCGGCTGCTGGATCAGAAATCCCTGGCGCGCAGACTCTGAGAATGCCCTGAGCTCCTCCTAAGAATTCCAGGAAGAGCAGTTTCTGAGGGGTAGTGCCGTTCATCTGTTCCAGCAACAAGGCGTCCTGCAGGCGCCTTAACAACTAGCACATTGATGAGCTGCCGTGGGCTGGAGCCCACTAGGTCAGATACAGCAGCCCACGAACGTTTATGTAGCTATATAGTTTAGAAATGTGTCTGTCTGTCTGTCTGTCTGTGAATCTGTTTGTTCCAGAACTCCTCCTACACGGTAAGAGCCAGGACCGCCAAATCGCTTTGAGTTAGGAGAAGAGGAAGCTGCATATCCAAAGTCAGGGGTTGGCTGTACCAGGACAATGGGATGTGCCTGGAATGGGACTGTGTCCTTTCAAACAGAAGGGGAGGGGTGTGAGCAGCAACAGTTACACTCACCCATGACCAGAGGGAGGTAGCAAGCACCTCAGGACGCAGCCACTGGCTGGCATCTACTGCCCTAAAGAGCAGTTGCCAGCTGCTGCACGAGCCCCACTCCTCTGGGCTAGCCACAGGGAGTGCCACCACACGCCCCACAAACACTCCAGGGCAGCCCCAGGGAGGAGCTGGCGCCAAAGTCCATCCCCTGCCCTGAGCCCCTCTTCACCCCCTGCTCTGATTCCTGCATCCCTAGCCCCTGCCCTGAGCCTCTCCTTACCCCCAACCCTGACCCCCATCTCCAGGCCCCTGCCCTGAGCCTCTCCTTACCCCC